TGACTAGCAGCACTGAGAACCACAGAGACAAGTTCAGACTATGGGTGTCTGCACGGGTAAAAAGGAAAATATAGGACAGTCTGTTCACTACCTTGCAAAAAGCTGTGCTAGCAAGGAGGCATTGTTATTGCTCTAAATAAATAACGTGAAAGAATATAATGGCTTTATAATATAGGAAATGGATAAAGGATGCATCAAGGTGTTTGGCATGCCTGAGCATTTTGCGATTATAGTGCTGCAAGGTTCTAATGTCATCAGCTCTTCTCCATTTCCCTGGAGCTGAGGGCCCTCATCATCCTGTAGAAATACTGCTAGTGAGGTTTTCTTGGCAGCTTTTTAGCATAAACAGTATTCTGCTGAGGGATGTTTTCCAAATTACCCAAGGACAGCAAACTGAATGTTTCCTGGGGTGTATTACAGAATTAGTGGAGGGTATTTGGCTAAGTGTGTATTGCACATTGTTTTCCTGCATCTTGCTGGGCTATGCATTGAGTGCCATGACAGTATTTCATTTTTAGAAACCTTAGAAAGACAAAGACATTCCTTGAAAGGTAGAAAATAAAGGACACACAAACCCCAGAACAATATGTCATCTAAAAGTTCAGATCGTGATTGATAAGTGTGGGGTTTTTTTATTGTTGGCTGTTAGCTGAATAATAGATTCTTATTTCAGTAAGTTTTGACTGGAGCAATTTGTCTTGAAGTACTTTTTTCACCTTTTTCTTTTAGGTCCTTTGTAATATAGTTCTGTAATTTTATTTTTTTCACACACAAATGCAGCTAACTTTTTCAACGTTCAGCAGCATCACATAAAAGCTTGTCTTCAGTTTATAAATTAATGAAAGACTGAATTCAGAAGAAATATATGGTATGCAACAGTAGTTACCTACTGCATTCTGTGACAAAACAAAAATTAAATCATTTATATTGAGGGGGAGGTATGCTGTCTTTCTGATCTAAAAAGCCATTTTCACAGTTCTTAAATGAACATCGTGGGGAACATTTTCCAGCTTATCACAACACAAACAGGCAAGTTATTTCCTTGTCAGAAAGGCCTGAACCCTAGCAAGCATACATGCTAGGGTATTACTCGTGGAGGTAAGGCTCCTCACAGTGTCCCACCTTAACATGCATAGTTACATTATTAAATTATACAAGGCCATTTTCCTTTATTCAATTTCCTCCTCTGATAGGACAGTGCAGAAATTACTGTAATGCATTTAATATATTAAAAGGCTTTGCTCTCCTACGTTGCTTCACTTCTTAGAGACCTTCCCTGTGTCTATATTCATTAATTGATTCTCCTTTTTGTACCTAGAAGATGAGTCTGTCTTCACTACAACCTTTCTCCCTTTTTCTCAGTTTCACACTACTTAAGTATGTCATTTTTTTGTCAGCTGGAGTAATTTACTGTCCATGTTTAAATATTAGCCTTAGTTTAGTCTTTTGATACCACCCCACTTAGAAGGCATGGAGTACAAGAAATGTTTGAACACATTTTGGAATAGAAATGATAGCACTTTGGATTTGAATGGTGAAGACGACGACCAGCCTTCACTGTTAATACACTGTGAGAGGGGACAATGCAGCCTGAGCTTTACCTGTGTGACCTCTCAGTCTGTATCTTTGCAAACTCCATCATAAATTACCAGATTTTTTTCTGATTAGTGCACATCCCACAAAACAAGAGTTGCAGGGCAGAATCCCCCAAGCCTACATATGTCTCTTCCAGAGCGGACATGGTTTGTGGCAATGTGGAAGGTTTGATCCTGGTATTTTGAGAGTCCCTGATATTCCCTATGGTTATCTTCAGGCTTGGTGCCCTCAGCTGGGCTCCTCTTGTGTGATGCCAGATGTGGTACATTACGGATCAGGAGACTTGTGGTCCCAGGCACTGACATGACTCTGTGCAAGCTAAAGCTTTACCAAAATAGTGGAGATCCTAAAAAAGATCTCCGCAGGTAAGCCTTTATACAAAACTGCGAGAGCTTCCTAGGAATGTGACACTTACTATATAAGCCAGACTTGAAAAAAAAAAGATTCTTCACGTCTTCTTTTTTTTGTTTAATTTCAATAATGATGGTGTTTCAGTATGTGGCTATTGCAAGCAGGATGAATTAGGAAACTTCCTACCTGTAATTTATTCATGGTGTTCCTATTAAGAAATAAAACTAATATGAGTAATTTGAGAAAAATGTCAGTATCCTGTCTGAAAGTGACTTCATTGTAATGTTGGTCTCTTCTGGTTATGGAGCTCTTTCAAAGGTATTAATACTTTTAACACAAAGATATTAATACTTCTACATGAACATTTAGATAGAAATTTTACCACAAGGCAAGAGGAGAGTTTCCACATGAAATATGAAGTGTTCTTCTTGTTGTTATAGCATATTTTCTGTTAAAGCTGTCAAAATGACTTATTAGTTTAGCATTTCTTGTTGAAATATATTCTGTCTAATAATTTACTTTTTAAATATTTCTATTCTAAATACTTATCAGCCCTCCACACATTTTCTGTGATATACTTTCCCCTTTTCCTGGAAGGGCGAGAGACACATTCCGTTCCCTGTAACTGGCTGTATGAGACTGTCCCCTTTAACTGCTGCTGAGAAGTGCCCCTGTGGGTAGCCTCTGGCAAAGTATACCCTGTGCAGAAACCACCATGATTTAACTGTTTCTGTCCCTTTGATCTGCTATCTTTACCTCTAGCAATGTAAGAGGTATAAAAGAAAGCAGGAGCTTTGAAGCCAACCGTTTGTCTCGTTGTCTTACCAGCAGTACTAGAATAACTCGATAGACCCTCAATTGTGTTATTACCAAGTTAATTTTTCACAGAAACCCCACTGAACTTTAAACATTATGGTATGTAAGCAAGTAGTCTACTTCTACTATATATATAACTAGATGTATATTTATATATAGTATATAGACATGGTAATAGATATGTTTATGATAGCTATTTAGAGAAAATCAATCAAATTACTTAGAATATTCTTCTTGGTGTCTTTGTACCTCCTACAGCAATCATAATTTTATTATAATTTGTCTCTATTTCTGTCACACTTAGAACTTCCCAGAAGAGGCTGATACCTTGCATGACCAACCACTTTATCATAAGCTGTAATACAAAAAACCCTGAACAGTTTGGGGCATACTTATTAATATATGTGTGATTCTTCTCACTGAAGCAACACTTTCGATGTTAATCATCATAGACTTGGAAAATGGAGGTGATTCTTGTCTAAAAGGGAGATTTTATAGAAGGGAAATTCAGCTGTTGCACAAAGTACAGTTACTAATTTTACAGACCTTTGTCGGCTTCTTGCAGCGTCAGCCAGCAAGGTTTTAGGACATGCTAAATTCTTGGTGTGTGTTGACATGGAACTAATAATGGAAACGGAGTCAGTGGAAGGATGTTTCAGATGGTTGTTACTGAATGACCTCCAGACAAAATAACAATCTCTGAAACCCCTCTCGTGTGCGATAGAGGCAAATTCCGATGGCTCTGTTCATGTGTGATCCTCCTTTGTCTCTTCTCTTTGGAGGACATATGGAAAGACTCCTGGTGCAGATAATGTAAACTAAAGAGTTCCCAACACATATCTCTATATCAAGGTTTCGGCTTTACAGCTGTATCTCTTTCCATCTAACTGGAACTAGCCTGACACTGTCCAGAAATAAGTCCTTCATGTGCCAAGCAGAGATACCGTAACTCTGTAGACGTGAAGCTACAGTAAGCCTAGTGGATGTCACCCTATGTTTCTTTCTGACAGTAGTTTACATTTAAAAGAAGAGTTTCTCTTAGTACAGTAATAATTAGTCACAAATATATTTTATATTCCAAGACCATGAAGTAATTTAAATTCATAATAAAACTAATTAATACTATGGAGTTACGCTATTTTCATAATGTGAGACATAGAGGTAAAGAAATGAGCTAGGTTAAAACCAATCACCCGAGCCTGGAAGGCAGGAAAATTTCTGTTACTCACTATATCTATATGTATAGAAACTAATGTTTGACTTTAGAGAAAATGTGTAATAGTTTGCTTTGATTTTACCCCTTCGTTGTGGTGGTACATCACATTATATGCTGTAGCATGCTGTTCCCCACCATGGATCTTCTGGGTCCACATATATCAGGCCTTGATATTTTGCACTTAAATGACAATCCTGTGGATTTCAGGCAACTTCAACAAAATTTTCAACAAAGACAGCAGCGTAAGACTGTACATTAGGTTTGCTTTTCTCTCCCATCCAGAGAATCCTGGGGGTTCTGAAACCAGAAGTCACTGGTTAACTTCCTGATGAATTAGGAAGGTTTACTGACAAATAGCTCTTTGTTTTACCCAAAATGTTGCATACAAAAAATCTCAGATAAAACAAACTTTCCCTGAATTTCAAAGAAAGGCGGTCAAAATCAGACTGAAACACGTTAAGGAAAGCCATACCAAACAGTGCTTACGGGGGCTCTCAGTTTTTCTATGCTGTTCTGTGAGCAGTAGCCCAGAAGGTCCTTCAGGCTGTACATAGCAGGTGGTCAGAAAAATATCATGTGACCCTGTATCTGTCTGCATTTCAAGTAAAATATCTGTGATGCCTGTACAATCATTTTTACCATAACTTGATGAAGAAATACAGGAAAAAGTGATTTATTTTCCTAATGTATGTTCTTGGGGTTTTTTGTTTGGTTTTGTTTCGGTTTTTTAAATCCTTTTGTTAAACAGGAACGCAGATTTTTCTGATTGGGACCTTTTCTGTGCAGTTGTTGTACAGGTTAAGTGTCTGGTTAAATTAATAGATGAGTATGTGTGTCCTTCATACAGCATTCAAACCCTGGTTCAACTCTATTGGTTATAATTAATACGGTAAAATCTTTCTTTCAGTAATATAGATGTCGGTGTTTACAGGGATTGAAAGACTGTGACTATCATAATGGTAGTCTGTATTTAATCCAGTATTTGTTTTTGTAATTCTTATGCTTTCTTTTTTTGTGACAGGTTTTTCATTATTCTTACACCGCTTCATACGTGATTTATAACATACACACAAGGTAGGTCACATTGTTTTTCAATATGATGTCATTGTCAGTGGTTCTATACATAAGGTGATGCCAGTGTGTTCAAGTAAAAATGTTTACGTTTTTTCAAGGGAAGTTTGGGAGTTAAACCCTCCAGAAGTAGAGGATTCAGTTTTACAGTATGCAGCCTGGGGCGTCCAAGGACAGCAACTGGTAAGCACAGTCATTAAAAATGCTATGGTTTAATAATGTATTTACTCCAGGCAGACTGAAGTAAAAAAAAAATTAAAAGCCTTAAGATAAGTTTTGTTATGTATTTCTGCATGGTGCTAGTATAGTCCTGTTATAGCTTTTAGGGGCTCTATTTAGTTAGTTAGTTAGTTATATTAAAAACATGTAAACATGTTTTTCCAGTCTAATCCCAATAAGCAAATTGTACAATTGTTGAAAGAATCACATCTTTAGTTGTACAATTATTGAAAGAATCACATCTTCATCTAAATATGCACTCAAGTAATTTTCAGAATAACCATCTTTATGGCTACTACTATGAGATAAGGAAAGTTGAAGGAGAAGAGAAGTTTTCAAGTGCAAGATCAATGAAAACTGTGGGCAAAAGCAAAAGCTTAACATACAAAAGTGGATGTGATGGATTCAGTGAAAAGTGGTGTTTTCATTTCAGTATGAAAATTACTGCCAAGGTCAGTTGTGCTGCACTGAATTCATAATAATAAACCCAGAAATGCTATGTTTCATATCTTGTTTTTTACCAAAGGTTTTGCAATTTTTTATGAGCATAAATCATCCATGATCATCATGACCAATCTCAATATGAGAAGAAAAAAATTGTGGTTTTAGAACAGCCGTGACTTTAAACTGACCTGTGTTGGTAGTTGAAGGCAAGAGAAAGACTTCTAAAAGCTTCAACTCTCTGACTACGAAATTCAGATAATCCTTGTTACAATGTTCTAATAATCTCTTTAATGCCTGCAGGCATGATCCCGAAGCCTCTTTGCATGTCTGACTTGTTCATGCAGAGAGGCTGTAAGTTGAATGTCTAGAGAACATATCCCATTGCTTATATCGTTCATCAAGATGGTGGGAATGTAAAAAACGTTTCTGGTTAGAATGTATTGCATTAAGCAAGTGGAGGCAGGAAGGAAAAAGCAATTGGAACATGCTTGGTATATTTTAATAATTAAGCACATTAATTTGTTAATAATGAGAGCATGGTGACAGGATTGATGGTAACAAATATGTAGGTTATTTACCAGGCAGTGTTATGGAATGCGTCAACCTATGTAGGTTGGAGCAGAAAGTTGATGCATTTGCAAAACTGAGCAGAATTAAAAGATATTTTAAATTAAATTGCAGTTCATAAGATTTGTCTGTGCTGTACCTCTGATTAGTAATCTAAAGTACAACTAAAATGAGATGCAGTGATTACTGAGAAATTATTTTTTTGTTTTCCTGAGGTGTATCTTAAGAACAGGGGCAGAGTTCCCAATCATAAACTTCAGAAAAATAACAAATCAGAATAATGCTATCTTTATCAGTTTTGCCTAGATTGTCATTCTGGAAATATGTATGAATACTTTCAGATACGGGCACAGGTGGACTCCTATTAAGTCCCAGAACTGCAAAAAAATAGGTGGTCGTTTTAGGTACAACCTTAATCATCCAAATTTGAAAATGTTAGCATAATTTATACTTCAGTGAGGATAACATTAGTCATCTTTGTTAATGTCCCTAGTAAAGTTAATGTCATGCTTTAAAAATATCTGCTCTACTGTGGGCTTTATGGTGCCATATGGTCTGCAGAATTAGGAAATAATAACTTTGATTAAAACACAAAATCTTCTGTGACTCTGAATGCTACCAAGTGTTGTCATATAGATGTAAACCTGCAATGACAGTATACTGAAGGTCATTTCCATAAGAATTGCCAATAAGAAGGATGTCCTCTTGAAGCTGTTTATGTGGTAAAGGAGGTTTCTAAAGTGACAGAAGTGCCTTGCCACATTACCCTCCCACTTCAGCAGCAAGCCAGAAATGTAGAAGGACCGTGAATGAATAAAGGCTGTTGTGAATAATGGTGGTTGCTACTGTCCAAAGGAGCAGCTGCCTCGAGCAGAAACAGGACAGTAGAGATCATTCCAGCGGAATAGGTTAAGCAGAGAAAAGATGTGTGGCTGGGGACACATTGCCGTAAAGGTTCTCAGCTGTAAAATTTGTCATTAGAACAAACACTTTATCAGTGAGATTTGAATAAAGATAGTACAGAAAGCAATCAGTGGTGAAACTGGGTAAAGAGGAAGTCGTAAAGGGAAAGACCTAAAGCATGGTAATCCGTCAGCAGTAACTATCGATAGCACATATCTGGGTTCAAAGAAAGATGCAGTCTCACAGATCCATGTTGCCAAATAGACTACGATAGGTTTACCAAAGTCCTTTCTGAAACAATACTTATTTGTCTTTTCCAGCTAATAATGGAAATAGTAATAATTCTTAATAAATAAAACAAGCAGTGGAATACGTACTCTAAACAAAATTATCATAGTGTATTAACGTGAGTAATCTCCAAGAGCCTTTCATTACAACTGAAGAACAAGCGGAGAACAAATTATATACACAAATTTCGTCTAGAGAGACCAGAGACCCATGAGACATACCTGTGGCCATTCCATAAACAAAGTATATGTAGATCGCTAAAATTAAGTGGAATAGCACCCTTTGAGGTGCAGTGCAGAAACGAATAGCAATACTCTAGCCATGACTGGTCAGCAAAATTAGCATGAGATGTGAAACAAAAGGCACAGGTATGCCTGACTGGGCCAAAGATCCGAACTTTACGCTTTAACTATTTGGAAGGTCCTGCATTAAATCCAAATGATGTGGGATAACACATGGACTTGGATCAACTATTTTCAATAAATTGGCTATAGTGTAAAATAAGATGTTTCCGATATTTAGTTCTGCAGACAACCTAAGTAACAATATAGCCTACACAGGAATCTTAATTTGAGTTCTTCAAATGAGAGGGAATAGGCAAGAGTTTCAAATAGGTAATATAAGAAGGTGAAGAAAAAAAAAAAAGAAATGTTTGAGCAGGAAAATTTGTATGAAGTCAGGAAGCGCTTATTGCACAGAGGAGGGAATATGGCTGCAGTGAAATCAAGTACACAGTAATACTTTACATCCTTGTGAAAATCATGCATCAGTCTGAGTTGTCTACTATTATGAATAATTTCTGGGGCTGTCTAATGGGATGGCAGGCCACGTGTGGCTAGTGAAGAACAACAGAGTTAGGTTTATATCAGATAGCAGATGACTGGGCCGTAATACCATGATTTTGAAGCTACCATAGTGGTTGCAAGTTATTTCAGTTTCTTGCTATTTACCTAGAGTAGAGGGTTTTATAAAGATTAAGAGAAAAGCTCAGAAAAACATCTGCTGTTTGAGTCATGACATTTTGGTGATGAAATTTAAAATGTTTGCTGCTGGGGAGACAAAACTTTTATCTAATGAATTAATGTATTTTAAGGTCACATAGCTGTTATTTTTGAGAACTGTTTTCAAGGTCACACTCTTTAAATTGCTGTCTTTTAACTGTGTTAGAACTGCGCCAGATCTAAAATACCATTTCTGTGTGTCTTAGTATGTTAGGGAGCTGTTTATGTATTTGCTAAATATTTCTCATATTCGCTCATATTTGTTTAAAATTTTGAAAGAGATCAGTTGATTATCCCTTTACCTTGCCTCTATAGAATCCACTACCGCAGCATTAAGTATTTCCAGAGAAAACAAACCAGCACAACTAGATACCTAATTGGTTTCATCAACATTTTTCTGCCTCCAGTTTACTTGATCAGAGACCTCGTTGCATGTGTCTGAGAAAGAGATAGCCCACACCTGGTAGGAAGGCTTTACTGAGGAGGAGAATGCTTTGGAGGGTTTTGAAGGGCCTCTGGTGTTGAAATACCCAATTTTTACCCAATGTTCTCTCTTCTTTGGCCTTATCTTCTCCAATAGTTTGTAGCAAAGGTTTTCATGTTTCTGTGCTGGACCTGGCTTGTATGTGACACAGGGGAGACAGCCTTTTCAGTTTGGATCTATCTGTGGAGATGTGTCGCAGTAGAAGCCTGAATATAAAAACTGACCTCTGGTTTCCAGTGCATGCAGAGTTTTCTATGAAAGATGTAGTGTTTCTCTGCAGTGCTTCTTGCAATACAGATAGTTCTTCTGATTAGTCATCGGATAGATTACTTCAAGTAGCTCCCAGTGAAGCGTGATTAGAAGTTGTTCAGTTTTACATAGCTTTTTCTTGAAAGTTTTACATAAAGTTTCTTCTGCCTGGGTGGTAACGTTGTTTATTTTATATGAAATACTTTATTTTCACTTTATTCTATGAACATATATCCATGTAAGTCACTATGCCTTTGTATTTATAATAGGTATTTTATGTTATTTATTGCATTGAGCTCATTTTCCTTTTGATATATTAAGTGTTTTTGAAGGGAGCTTGAGTTATATATTTGGATGGATCAGCATAAATAATGATCGATTGACTTATGTATGAATGTCTATGCATAAATAAATGCCTATTTTAACAAAGCAGAAATCAAGAAAATAGTAAAGCTATCCAGAATGCTAAAAAGATCATTTTGTAGAAGCTTGATGGCTTGCTTTGTCAAAATTTGATGCCATCAACAAAACATAGCATTATCAAATGGTAGAAGTGAAGATGAGCTTTTACTATGCTTTAACGTAATTTAGGTCATCATTGTGTAGAATTACGTATTATTCTGTATACACAAAAAACAATTTGTCGACTGTAGCTGAATTGTGGATTCAGGATGCTCTTACCAATTTTTAGAAAATATTGTAAATGTTAGAAAACAAGAAAATTGCCATCTTGTTCCAAAAAATGGAACAGGGTACTCACAGATAACAGGGCCTAGAAGCTGAAGCTTTTACAAAAAGAATGAAAAATAAAATTCCAGTGAAAAAGGACCTCACATTATTTATTTAAGTACTTATTTAAAAGTACCTAAAAACAAGCATACAGACAGAAACCCAGAAACAAAGCAGAGCAAAATCTGCTTTAATTGTTATTAATAAATGTACCAGAACTCTCTACCCCTCTGCTTTGTGATCAGTCACCTTTATCCTGGTTGTCTTGTTTGGAGGTTCATTTTGCCTTCCCCCTGCAT